GCATTTTAACCAAAATTCCATTTAAAAAAATGGTTAAAGAATAATGTAGAAGTTATTATAAATGTTATCCGATATATATAATGGTGGCTTGTCGTGGCAAAAGTATGTTATTAATTAGTGCAATTTATCTTTATTGAGCTATTTATTTTGAATTCAATTGATGATTTTTGGGCTACGTATTAAGATTTGGGCCTTATCATTAAGCAAGCAAAGATTTACATGAGTTTTTCTTGTATAAATTTAATTATTTAATAAGATTATTGTTAAAGATTTTGCCATGTCATATTAAATGTGTTGCATGTAAGCAAATTCCAAAAAACTACTTTTCAAATCTTATTATATTAGAAAGAATGCGCGCGATGAGAGCTTGATACGCAGGCAAAATTCTTAAGCATTAGATCGTGACATGTGTAATTGTTAATTTAGATTGTGACATGTGCCAATATTAACAAAAATATTTTTTTTTTAAAGAAATATATTCTAAACAAGGATTATTGACTAATTAAGAAAAAGAAAACAAAAATTGTTCTACTAAACTATGTAATATTTCCAATATTAACAAAAATAATTAAAATAAAATAAGGAATATATTTTAAACAAGATTAATTAAAATAAACTATGTGAGATTTCTATATTTTTATATTACAAAATACATTCTTTCCATTATAAATTTTATCTAAATAGTTAAAGACAACAAATGTCATATTGATAAGTGTAATTTTGCTAATATAAACATAACATATAAACATTACATAAGCCATAAAATAAATAATATATATAGAATAAAAATTTCAATTAAAATGAATATAAAGACGAATGATATTTAAATTGGAAAAAGACAAAAGTTTATAGATGAACGATAAAAAATGGTATCTAAATTGGAAAAGCAAAAGTTAGAAAGGTTATAGAAAACTCAATTTAAAAGTTTAAAAATATATACAACCATGCAAAAACAAAATAAAAATAAAATTTATAAAAATACTTATTTTATCAATATAGAGTTACAGAATATCACAAAGAAAATAAAAATTTTCGACTTATGACGTCATTAGTACTCTTCAACTGTATATATTGAAAATTATATAAGTTAAAAAATAATAATATTATATTTACTATTAATTTAATACTGTATAAAGTTTGGCGAGTATAAATCTCTATCATAAATAAAACGATGACATTAATAAAATAAAATTATCAATCATGTATTTATGTGATGGTTCGCAACACTATTATAGTTTTTATGAGGTTACTAACATAAA